TAAGGATATCACTGGGAAAGCAACTATAGATCAAAAACAGATGTGGAAGGCCAACCCATTTTAGGAAACTTCTAAAGGGACCTGCCTGGGCCCCACCAAACAGTAAGGGCGCTTTCCTCAATTCCTTCCCAGCCTCAGCCTCTGCCACCAAGCACATTTCTGACTTGTGGTAGGTGACAAAAGACAGCAGAGGCTTGGACCTCAGTTCTCTTCCAGACTCATACTAACTCTTGAAATGGGACCTCAAGTTATTTCTACTGGAGTCTAAGGGCCTTTGCCTCATGGAACAGTGGGTCTACCACTAGGTCATAGCAGTCTCATCTTAAAAGTCCACCAGATTTTGCCAGGTGTCACTGATGCTGACTACACAGGGGAAATCAAGGTTGTGGTTCAATCTACTCAACACGCTGTTCAAATCCCTCCAAATTTTCATAATCCTCAGTTGGTTATTCTTCCCTTGACAAAAATTGGAAAATCTATAAATAAGGAAAGGGGTCCAAGGGCTTTGGGTCCTCCAGTACTTATTGCAATCAACAGATTAAGCAGGATCACCCTGAGATGGAATTAATCATTGAAGGGAAAGTTTTAGATGGCTTTTAGACACAGGAGCAGATATTTCTGTCAGTTCCCAATAGCACTGGTCAATGGCATGGCCTCTGGATGTGACAACTACAGATCTAGAGGGCGTAGGCAATATTTCTCACCCTAGTACAAGTGCTAAGTTATTAACCTAGAGGGATTCAGAAGGTTATTCTGGACTTGTACCAGTCAATTTATGGGATCATGATTTATTACAGGATATGGGGACATTTCTGTTTAGTCCTAACTCTGGTGACTCATCAGATGTTACAACAAGGTTTTTCCCCCATTCAAAGGCTGGTAAAAACAATCAAGAAAGGAGAGAAGATATTACAACAGACCCAAAGAAGGACAATTTTGTCATAGGATACTCCCCTTCACATTTTTGCGAGGGGCCTTGATCTCTTCTCTGACCCCTGAATGGCATCCAGGATAACTTGGAGGTCTGATGACCCTGTATGGGGTGATCAATGGCGCCTTACTCAGGAGAAACTTGTAGCAGCTCACTCACTGGTTAATGAACACATGATGGCAGGACGTCTAGAATCCTCCAATAGCTTTGCAATATCCCAATTTTCATAATAAAAAAGTCAGGGAAATGGAGACTTTTACAAGATTTGTGGGCTGTTAATAAAACCATGGAACCCGGGGGAGTACTTCAGCCAGGGCTGCCCATCCTGTAGCTATTCCTTTGCATTTTTCTCTCATGGTGATTGATTTAAAAGACTCCTTTTTTTTACTATTCTCTCTCCATCCCCAAGGTAAGAAACCTTTTGCTTTTAGTCTACCATGTATTAATCATCAGGCCTCTATGCACTACTTCTAATGGTGCTGTCTGCCATAAGGAATGGCAAATAGTTCACCTTTATGTCAGGAATTTGTGCTGTAGCTATTTTGTCAGTCCATCAGGCTTAGCCATCTGTCTCTCTTACTCAGTATATTAGTGATATACTACGGGCACATGAATCATTATCCACTTTGCACCATGTGTTTATTCAATTAGGCAACGTTCTTCATAGAGCTGACCTAGCTGTGGCCCCTGAAAAGGTGCAAACCATCGTACCTTTTCACATTTGGGTTATATCATCCAGAAAAGACATAGTGTGCCCCAAACTGTTCAGATTCAAACTAAACACCTTGCAACCTTTTCAGATTTTCAGACTTACTCAGGGACATTAATTGGCTCCACTTAACTTCTAAACTAACAAGTCATAATTTAGATTCTCTCTTTGACAGTCTCAAGGGGTACCAAGTCCCCACATCTCCAGGGACACTCCAGAGGCTGAAGTTGCCTTGGGCAAAGTTAATCTGGCTCTCTCTAATGCCTGACTTTCTAGAGTTGACCCAGCTTTGTTCATATTTTAAATTATTTTTCCTACTCATTGGGGTCCTGTGGAAGTCTCAGGGACCTTTACAGTGGCTACATATGCTGCATACTCCATACAGAGCCATTACTCCCTTTTATGAACCACAACCTTGATTTACCCTATGTAGTCAGCATCAATGACACCTGACAAAGGCAGAACTGAACTGATTGCACTTGGATGAACATAACTATCCAGCTTTTCAGTCATGAAGTGAAAACTATCATTATTCCCTTTTTTTGTCAATCTTCTCTGACAAATGGATGTCACTCACACTCCTGAGTTTGGTTCTCTATGCTGGGTCCATGTTCAGTGGACACTTTCTTGGGATTCATCTTTGCTTCTGCTCACACTGGTAAATTGATTATTGTTAACCTCATGGTACATTCATGTTTCCAGATGTTCAGCTCTTCAAAAATGTAAAACAAGGATTTAAAAGTTTTTTAAATTTTTTATTTTGGTACCATGGATCAAACTCACAATCTCATGCTTGCCAGGCAGGCACTTATGCCACTGAACTAAATCCCCTGACCAAAACAGGGATTGTTTATGGTGACAGAATTTTGTTTCACATTCAGACCTCTGCATTCAACAAATGCTTATTAGATGAACATCTAAGTAAAAGTAAGCAAGTTAGGTAAAAGTTCTTATGCATTAGATAGGGAAGATTAGTCAAAATGGGGTAGCATGTCAAAAATGAAAATTCTAAACGTGATCAAGATTGTCATGCTATAATTTTAGGTAAAACTACAGAAAAAAGTAATCATCAATATAGTGTGCCTAGAGAGAGCAGAGACAGAAACTGCTAGACAGCAAGGGATCTATGATGAGATGCAGACCCCAAGGTCAGCCTCTGATGAGCCTCTTCCTCCAACTGGGCTCCATCTCCTAAGAGGCCTTCAGTTACAAACTCATTCATGAGTTCATTCTGATGAAGTCAGAGCCTTCACAATCCAATCACTCTCCAGGAGGGTCTTAATCTAGTAAGTTGCCAGTCAAGATTAACCAGCACAATGAGCCATGAAACACTGAAGCATGGGTACCATTTAACAGCAGAAGGAGATAGTATTTCTTGATCAGTGAACACTAAAACCTCACCATATACCACTTGGTCCAGTAGTCAGAAAACAGCCCCAAAGTGGAGATGTGTCCTTCATCAGAACACCTGGCAGGGCTGGCCAGGGTGGATGGGAAATTGCCCAGAGGTCTCTGTGAGGTGTGAATTAGAACTAAGGCAGAAGCTTCAAAGAAAGGGAAAAAGAATAAGGGAAAGCCTGGGATGCCACCTAAGGGGGGGCCGGAAGAGAAAATAGGGATGAGGCAATCCAGAGAGTGGGACAAGAAGATAGAGATGCAATCAGCCGGTGGGAAGAGGAGGGGACAGCAAAGGGGCTCAAAACACAGGAGGAGGCTGCCGAGAAAGGGTAGATGCTGAATCAGAGACCAAAGAAGAAGGAAAGCAGAAGGAGCAAGTACAACAGAGGGTGAGCAAAGGGTGGCCAACGGAACAAGAAAGAACCAGCCTGGCTGGGGGGCTGCTGGTCAAGCGGTTAGAGAGAGAGAGAGACAGAGACAGAGAGAGAGACAGAGAGACAGAGAGAGACAGAGACAGAGAGAGAGAGACAGAGAGAGAGACAGAGAGAGACAGAGAGAGACAGAGAGAGAGACAGAGACAGAGAGAGACAGAGAGAGACAGAGAGAGAGACAGAGACAGAGAGAGACAGAGAGAGACAGAGAGAGAGACAGAGACAGAGAGAGACAGAGAGACAGAGGCAGAGAGAGACAGAGAGAGAGACAGAGAGAGACAGAGAGAGACAGAGACAGAGAGAGAGACAGAGAGAGAGACAGAGAGACAGAGACAGAGAGAGAGACAGAGAGACAGAGAGACAGAGACAGAGAGAGACAGAGAGAGAGACAGAGAGAGAGACAGAGAGACAGAGACAGAGAGAGACAGAGAGAGAGACAGAGAGAGACAGAGACAGAGAGAGACAGAGAGAGAGACAGAGAGAGACAGAGAGAGACAGAGACAGAGAGACAGAGAGAGACAGAGAGACAGAGACAGAGAGAGACAGAGACAGAGAGAGAGACAGAGAGAGAGACAGAGAGAGAGACAGAGAGACAGAGACAGAGAGAGACAGAGAGAGAGACAGAGACAGAGAGAGACAGAGAGAGACAGAGACAGAGAGAGAGACAGACAGAGAGACAGAGAGACAGAGAGAGACAGAGACAGAGAGAGACAGAGAGAACTCAGCTCATAGACTGAGAGGTTGTCCCGCAGGGAAACCCCCAGACTTTAAGGAGTCTGGGCCAGCTCTCAGGCCTCCTGGGGTTGGAGAGGCGAGGTGGCCTGGGCAGCAACCGGTGCTGTCCCGATCCGTGCCCAGCGAACACGCCTCTCTGATAGAAGGTGCAGGCGCTGGACCCAGAGGGTGCTCAGAGAAACCCGGAGGAATTGAGGCTGCAAAGCGGCTGGTACCTGCGGGGTGAGGGTGGAAGAGGATCTGAGGGTGGGGAAGGAGCAGTGGGGCTCAGAGCAGAGGGAAAGGCGGGCTTTCAAGGCGTCCAGGCAGGACCCGGGTGGAAAGCAGGTGCCTGGTCTGGTGGGAGCTGAGGGAGGCGAGAACCCTTTGAGAACTGCAGGAGCTGGGGAAGTCCTAGCCTGGCACAGGCTGCTTGGCGATAGCGCTAACGGTGCGCGTCGGGGAGGAAGAACCACCCGGCCAACCGGTCCCAGCGTTGGATTACTTAGTCCCCGAAGTTACCCCATCTGAGGCCCATGGATAAAGAACAAGTCAACAAAGGGTAGCCTCGGAGAGAGGCGAGCGGAAAGCGGTGGACAGGGCAGCCTTGCGGGCGGAGGAAGAGACCACCGGACCCTGGTCACCGCGAAAGTCTTCGTCCTCCTGAGTCCTGGCTGCATTCTTGGAAGGCTTCGCTGTCCTACACAGCCAGGGACAGCCGCGCCCAGGTGGGAGGCACAATGAGGGGGCGGGAGCCCTGGCCAAATGGGGCGGACACCGGGTGGCGTCTCGGGCTCCATAAAGGGCCGTAAGGGCTGTGTCTTCTGCGCGGACTGCAGTCACCCGCGGCGAAGGAGGCACGATGCCAGTTCAGTGTCAGGAGAGTGCAGTACTGGCAGGTAGTGTCACTTTGATCACCATAGGGGCAATGACTCTGTGCTTCGCGGAGCCCTCGCCCTACGGGAAGTACAGCAAGAGGTCTGCGCCCGAGGCTAAGCGCCTGCCCGCCCGCGCCGCCTGGTTCCTGCAGGAGCTGCCTTCCTTCGCGGTACCAGTAGGGATCCTTGTCCAGGAGCCTGGCTTTGTCTTCGGACCTCCCCAAACTGTGCTTCTGGGGCTCTTCTGCGGACATTACTTCTACAGGTAGCGTTATCAAGCGGGTACCGTGAGCAGCGTCCTGCCCCAGCTCCTGGCGCTCAGGAGCTCAGCGCGCACGGTGGACATCGGGGGGCGGTGGGCAGTGCCAGGTGCGGGAGCTCAGGCGCTCAGGCGACAGCCAGGAGCACCTAGTGGGCTTGATGCCTGCTGGATGCTGGCGAACTGGGGAGTGTCCCAGAGACCGGCCCAGCGCTCCTCTTCGCGCCGCATCTGGCTGCGCCAGCGCCCCAGGCGAACCCGCCAAGCCGGGACGCTGGGATCACTTGAATGAGCAACAGGTCAGGGCTGCTCCCTGCAGCGAAGCGCGCTGTCTGCAGTTATCTGCTCATCCCACGCCTGCACGCCTTGTCTTGCTTTACTTTTCTCTTGCGGAGCTTGGCCAGGTTGATTCTGGGGTCTTGGGAGACTTTTAAGGGTCTGCACTTCTGGAAGAAAACTCTGCCAGAGATGTTAATCAGTTTAAGGAGGCCATGAAGAGTGAGGTGGGCAGAGCTCAGACCCGGGCTTCAGAGGTGGGAAGATGCTGTATACTATATACTATATCCCCCTGATTTAAACCAGAGCCCTGCTCTTAAGGTTTCCCCCCAAAGGGACTGAACTCATCACTAACTTAGCTATCCAGGTGCACTTGGACTTGAATTGTGAATCAAATTTAACAGAGAACACAGAGATTCTAGATGAAAAAGCCTCAGTTCAGCAGAACTTTGCCTTTCTAATCTGGAGGGAAAGACAGGGCAGACCAAGCAAGAGATATCAGGATTTGAAGAATGTGGGACCCCGACAAAGACTCACAGAGGAAGGGAACAATAGAGTGCTAAATTGCCTATCATACAGATCATGCATCTTATTTAGTCCTACTGTTAGGTTAAGAGGCATGTCTTTATTATGGCCACTTCACAAAGGAAGTGAGGCAAGGTAAGAATATGTGACTTAAGGAAGATAGGAAAGATAACACCCAGTAAGATTTACATCTCAGTCTGTGATTCTCTGGGGTTCAAGGCCTATCAGTCGCTTCAGCTAGGTAGACAACTCCATGCAAAACAGGAGCATCCTTGGGTAAAGACATAGTTAGCTTGGTTGTCAAACCAACTCAAGATACAAACAGAAGCTTTGCCTTATTCTGAGTGAATGATTCATAGGTTCAAAAGATCCATGATTACTTTGATTGGAAGTTAAAATAAATACTAATGCTTTTGGAAGGTGAAGGACTTCTTAAAAGAAATTGACACCTCATGCTGTGAAGGAGTGTCAGAGACCCAAATTTCAACCTCTGTTTCCATAGCTCCCTCCTAGCCGCTAGATTTTCTTCATTGGTGAAGACTTAGCAATTATCCCATAGTAACTAAATTCTCATTCTTTTAGAAAGGTAGGGATTGGCAGGCAGTGATGAAGTTTGCATCCTTCCAACAAATATTTACACAAAGTTTGTTTTGGACAAGGTTCCAGGGTATAGTTATCTGTTGCAGTTATCTGCAGACAATTCAAACTCCAAGAAGACCCAGAGGGACTGCCCTCATCTGAGAGTCCTTATGCTCTGAGAGCATGAGAGAGTCTCATACCGACAGTCTCATATGGACTGCACTAATATACTGTGACTTTTTATTGATAGAATCAGGAAACATAGATAAAGCATAAAGAAAAGATGTCTTTGCAGTAACTCATGTAGGCAACAGGAGAAAGGGAGGTCGAGGTAGTCTGTTACATAACTGACTTTAGGGCCAATCTAAGCAATGAATCAGAATGTGGAGAGGAGGAGGAGGACTAGAGAATTCATTCCTTAAGGCAGTGAGTTTTGATCCTACTTGGACCTGTAGCCCTGTAAGCTACCTTTTAATCTCTAACCATGCATTCCAAGAGGTTTTAGAGATATAGCTCCAAAAGTCCCTTAACTCTTCTCACACATATCTGTATCCATTGCCCCTACATATCCCATATTTTTAATACCTATAAAATTATAAGAAAAAGCCAAAGGGAAATTATTTTAATAGCTATAAAAATCCAGATGTGAAGGTTCAAAACCAGAAAACCAACTTTTGGGATTCACCAATAGGCAATATCATTGAGATGATCTAAAGGAATATTACCAGCTTCTAGTTGAAGTTTGTGTAACTGGACTTGTAGTCAGCACTGGACAGTGGAAATCTCTCCATTGAGATCAGCATGAAAAACGCCATGGAGGATTCACTGGATTTTGCCCCAAGTTTCAGAATGATTAAATGAAATTGAAGCAGTGCACATGGAATGGTAACCAACAACCACACACAGTTGAACCTACTGTGTGTTTAAAGAGCTTATTGATGTTTGCTGAGCCATTCAAAAGCTGCTTCAAGGGGGTCAAGTCTGCAAAGTTTCCTTATGGATGTAAGTTTGAGTTAAGAGCTCAGAAGTAACATTTTCAAAATAGCCGTATGTGCTTTGGCCATTTTGGATGGAATGAGTTGGGGCAACACCTGCTGTGACCAAAGTAGCTGTTTCTGCTATAAAGTCTGAAAACCAATTTTACCTGAGTTGTTCAACTGTTGAAGTAATTTGTTCAAGAGCAGAGCCTTTTACCCAGTTGCCTGGGATTATTGGGGAGCTAAGCTTTAATTCTTAGTCTAAGCACTGTAATGTGAGTAACATTTAATTGAGAAATATTATTACTGTTGACACCATGGAGTGAGCCATTTGGAATTTGTAAGCAAGATAATATAGAAAGCCCTAAAAGGTCAGCACTGAGGAGTGGACAAATTGTAAACGGTGAAAAAAGGTTCCTTTCTACTAAGGACCAAAATAGGTGAGCAGAAAGTAGAGATTGTGACATGATCAGAGGTATCATAACAATCCATGTGAGGTTATCTAAAGAATGATAGTTGTCATTTCTGACAATGCAAAGAATGGAGTAGCTAAATTCCGTAGATTTTTTAAAGGGGCCAGAAGAAACATGATTAAAGTCCAGCAAGCCGAGGATTTCGTAAGAGAGAGCTGCCACTCTAATTAAAACATAAACTATGATTTCAGGATGACTTGGACCATAACACTGTCAGATTATGGGGCCCCTCACTTTCTAGAGTTATGTTATAAGCAAGATCAACAATAGAGAGATTGGAGGATCACCATGAAGTCCACCACAAGTCTAGGTCATCTCCTATAGGCACCCACAGGGGAGAACATACAGGCATATTGCCTGGAGGATACAGAGGAACCTAGGATTCTGGCAGAATTAATGAGACCTTGATGATGGGCCCTTTCAGAACAGTGAGGACCTATGGAAATATGATTCTTATACCACTGAGACTGAGAGGGAATACAGTGGTTACTGGATGTGAAATTAATAATGATAGCTAGAAGGAAATCTTCAGCCAAAAAGTGTCATTCATGAAGTGGTAAAGGCCAGTCAGTAGAGTATTCAGAGTGGCCATAATTTTTATCATAATCCCCTGCAGGGTTTAGAGGGAGCAGTTAGGCTCTGTCAGTATAAGAGGCATCTTATGAGGAGAAGGAAGGCAGAGTCCCCCCTGCCCCCATGGCTAAAAACAGGAGGTGTAAGTATGTATGTCTAGTGTATTTTGCCACTTATTTTTGCATACAGTTAAACAGAAGCAGAATACAAAGGAATCCTTTTACCTTTGCCATCTTAGAGTTGGAGTTAGCTTGTGCTACTGTTATCAGAAAGAGGTTTTCTGGGGTAGGAGGAATTCTGGATTTTTAGAGTCTGGTCAGCCTTTGCGGGGAGCTATTTAATCTCTCTCCATCGAGGTCCTGAGAATTTGTTCCCCTCTTTTTGCTCCCCATCCCTGGAGGGGAAGCATCATTTCATGCATCTCAGGGATGGATTTACTTCTAACCTGGTAATAAAATACACATACCTGCTCTCCCAAGTAAGCAGCTGCAAAAGGCTCAGCCCTTGTGGGCTAGAGAAGCTCTATCCCTTGTGGAAATAAAGTATATTTTCACTGCTGTGAAGTCATCTGTGTCACAATTAATGCTTTATTTAATTATTCCTGTGGGTAAACACTCTTTATCACGATCCATCTCTTTTGTTTTAACAATTGAATTTTAAATAGTAGATCTTTGCCCCGGAGTGTGACCAGTACATTGAGAATAAAGGGCTGCCTTTGACGCCCTGGGCTGATGTAGGATAAAGGGCATCTGCTTTGGCATGGGGTTCTACAGCTGCCTAGACTTGTGTAGAGAAACCACAGAGAAATGAATATAAAGTCAAGTTTGCAAAAGATTCACTGTGAGTCACATCCATTTGCCAAATTTCATTGACTTTATTAAAAATCATATTTCATTGGTATATTTTCAATATACATATTGATCATGTGCCTCATAGAGAATTTGTACCTGTACATGATATAACGTGATTCTTTTTTTCTTACTCCCCTACTGTCCCTTCAACCCCACCTTTCCTCCTTTCTTACAAAAGATTTGTTTCCATTTATTCCCTTTTTCTCATTTGTTTTGCTTTTCTATCTCTTCTGTCCCCCGTCTTCCTCCTTCATTGACTTTTATTATTTTACTTTATTTTTAAGTGACTTTTAAACCATGGGGATTGACTCTTGCCTGAGTTGTAAATTTTACCAGTCATGGTTGTCTTAGAAGTTGGATCCCTGTCGAATGATAACAGATGACAATTATGAAGTTTTACAGAGAAAAATAGAGATCAAGGGCAACATAATATTTTAGCACAACAGTCATGATGACATTATTATAAGTATTAGGTTTTGCTAATATCCCTGAAAAACACTTAGGTGTTTGTCTTATATAGAATAACTTTTTAGCTAGTTACCATAATCTAATTCCAAAATATTAAATGACATAGGGAAACTTGTACCTATGCCATTGTACCTTGACCATACTCTGTTAGCAGAGTGACCTTTAACTAGAATGTATTTGTTTATAGGTGCATTTTATAGGTTGTTAACCTCTAAACTTTTAATTTCTACAGTGACATTACCTGGATTTCACAGTTCCTGGGTACCTTTAACCGTTATAATTAT